GGGGCGGGGGGAGGGGCACCAGGCCCCCCCCCCAGCCTCGGGGCACCCCCAGGATCCCCACCCCCACCTCTATGGGCACCCCAAAACCCGCCCGGACACCGCCCAGGTGTGGCTGCAGGTGAGAGCCCCCCCCCAAAAAAATCCCAAAATAGCCCCAAATCCTTCCCCAAATATTCTAAAATCTGCCTCAAAAATGGCGCAAAGTACCCCAAAAACCTTCTTTAAAAATGCCCCAAAATCCTTTTTAAATTATCACCAAAAATGACTGAAAATACCCCAAAAATCTTCCTTAAAAATGCCCCAAAATACCTTAAAAATTACCCCCCAAAATGACCCAAAATATCCTAAAAATCGCCCCAAAAATGTTTTAAAATACCTTAAAAATTACCCCCCAAAATGACCCAAAATATCTTAAAAATCCCCCCAAATTCCCTAAAAATCCCCCAAAAAATGACCCAAAATACCCCAAAAATCTTTTTTAAAAATGTTCTAAAATACCTTAAAAATTAACCCGAAAATGACCCAAATATCCTAAAAATCCCCCCAAAAATGACCCAAAATTCCATAAAAATCCCCCAAAATTCCATAAAAAACCCCCAAAATTCCATAAAAACCCCCCCAAAATTGCCCCAAAATGCCCTAAAAATCCCTCAAAATTTATCCAAAATACCTTAAAATTTTCCCCCAAAATAGACTAAAATTTTTGCCAAAAATGCCCCAAAATAACTTAAAAGTTTCTCCTTTGAGCCCCATTTTCTCCTCACAAAATCCTCCTTTTTAACCCTTTAAACCCCATTTTCCCCCCCAAAATCCTAATTTTTAACCCAAATATTCTCGTTTTTCCCCTCAAATCCCATTTTTAACAATTTAAACCCCATTTTTAACCCTTTAAACCCCATTTCCCCCCAAAAAATCCTCGTTTTTAACCCAAAACTTCTCATTTTCCCCCCAAATCCTCATTTTTAACCCTTTAAACCCCATTTCCCCCCAAAATCCTCATTTTTAACCCAAAAATCCTCATTTTTAACCCTTTAAACCCCATTCCCCCCAAAACCCTCATTTTTAACCCAAAAATTCTCATTTTTGCCTCCCAAATCCTCATTTTTAACCCAAAAACCCTCATTTTTACCCTCAAAAAAAAATCCCATTTTTAACCCTTTAACCCCCATTTTTAACCCTTTAACCCCCATTCTTAACCCTTTAAACCCCATTTCCCCCCAAAATCCTCATTTTTAACCCAAAAATCCTCATTTTTAACCCTTTAAACCCCATTCCCCCCAAAACCCTCATTTTTAACCCAAAAATTCTCATTTTTGCCTCCCAAATCAAATCCTCATTTTTAACCCCCCTCATTTTTACCCTCAAAAAATCCCATTTTTAACCCTTTAACCCCCATTTTTAACCCTTTAACCCCCATTCTTAACCCTTTAAACCCCATTTCCCCCCAAAATCCTCATTTTTAACCCAAAAATCCTCATTTTTAACCCAAAATCCCCATTTTTAACCCAAAAATCCTCATTTCCCACCCCCACCCCACCCCAATTTTCCCAAAATCCCTTTTTTTCACCCCAAACAGACTCTGGGGGCGGCCCTGGGGGTGTCCCTGGCCCCACACCTGGTGCTGCTGTTGGTACCGGCGGATTCGGGGTCGCCGCGGCGCCGGGGGTTGCTGCGGCTGTTGCTGAGCTTCGCCGCCGGGGGTTTGCTGGGGGACGCCTTCCTGCACCTCATCCCCCACGCCCTGGGTCCGTTTTGGGGGGATTTTGGGACATTTTGGGGTGTTTTGGGAGATTTTGGGTGTTTTTGGGGGGTTTTTGAGGCTGTTTGGGGGCGGTTTTGGGGGGGCTTGGGGCTGTTTGGGGGCAGTTTGGGGCAGTTTTGGGGGTCTTGGGGCGGTGTGGGGGTTGTTTTGGGGTGTTTTGGGTTGGTTTTGGGGTGTTTTGGGAGATTTTGGGTGTTTTTGGGGTGTTTTTGAGGCTGTTTGGGGGCGGTTTTGGGGTGGCTTGGGGCTGTTTGGGGGCAGTTTGGGGCAGTTTTGGGGGTCTTGGGGCGGTTTTGGGGTGGTTTTGGGGTGTTTTGGGTTGGTTTTGGGGTGTTTTGGGTTGGTTTTGGGGTGTTTTGGGAGATTTTGGGTGTTTTTGGGGTGTTTTTGGGGTGTTTTTGGGGCTGTTGGGGGGCGGTTTTGGGGTGGTCTGGGGTGTTTCTGGGGCTGTTTGGGGCAGTTTTGGGGGTCTTGGGGCGGTTTTGGGGTGGTTTTGGGGGGTTTTGGGTTGGTTTTGGGGTGTTTTGGGACATTTAGGGACGTTTTGGGGTGTTTTGGGTTGTTTTTGGGTTGTTTTCGGTTGTTTTTTGGTGTTTTGGGTTGTTTTTGGTTGTTTTGGGGTGTTTCTGGGTGTTTTTGGGGTGTTTCTGGGGCTGTTGGGCGGTTTTGGGGTGGTTTGGGGGTAGTTTGGGGCAGTTTTAGGGGATCTTGGGGTAGTTTTGGGGTCGTTTGGGGTGTATTTGGGGCATTTTGAGGTGTTTTGGGATATTTTGGGGTGTTTTGGGGGTGTTTTGGGGTGTTCTTGGGGTATTTTTGGGGTGTTTTGGGGCGGTTTTGGGGTGTTTTTGGGGCTTTGGGGGGCGGTTTTGGTGGATTTGGGGACACTTTGGGGACCCCTTTTGTCCCCACAGCCCCCCACGAGCACCACGAGGGTCACGGCCACTCCCACCACGGGCACGGTGAGACCCTGGGGACACTTTGGGGACATTTGGGGACATTTTGGGGACATTTGGGGCCATTTTGGGGACATTTGGGGACACTTTGGGGGGTTTGGGGACAGTTTTGGGACATCTTGGGTGGTTTGGGGACACTTTGGGGACATCTTGGGGACGTTTGGGGCAGTTTTGGGGGGGATTTGGGGCATTTTGGAGGGATGGGGACATTTTGGGGACATTTTGGGGACATTTGGGGACATTTTGGGGACATTTTGGGGGGTTTGGGGACATTTTGGGGGGTTTGGGACTCATTGGGATCATTTTGGGGGTGTTTGGGGCAGTTTTTGGGGGTGTTTGGGGCAGTTTTGGAGGGTTGGGGACACCTTGGGGACATTTTAGGGACATTTTGGGGCATTTTTGGACAGTTTTGGGGGATTTGGGGACCCTGGGACACCTTGGGGACAGTTTTGGGGTGGTTTTGGGGGATTTGGGGACACTTTGGGGTCCCCTTTTGTCCCCACAGCCCCCCACGAGCACCACGAGGGTCACGGCCACTCCCACCACGGGCACGGTGAGACCCTGGGGACACTTTGGGGACATTTGGGGACATTTTGGGGACATTTGGGGACATTTTGGGGACATTTGGGGACACTTTGGGGGGTTTGGGGACAGTTTTGGGACATCTTGGGTGGTTTGGGGACACTTTGGGGACATCTTGGGGACGTTTGGGGCAGTTTTGGGGGGGATTTGGGGCATTTTGGAGGGATGGGGACA